TTTTAGTTATAGGAAATAAAATTGGAAGCTGTGTAAAACAGACTACACGAATATAGAATATTCAACTTTATTTTATTCAAGTTAACCTATCTTAATTAGTGTCCTATGTCACACACACAGTATAAGAGAAAAAATATATACAAAATACATATATATATATATACATATGCACTGCTGAGGAGTCCCATACTAGGACGAGACGGCCGTCCAGTGTTTTCAGGCTTCTAATGATAGTTTAGCTTAGTTCGACTCGTAAATCCAACTGTGAAAATGCTACAATCCTCGCAAATCCACATACTATATATATATTATTAACAGTAAATATATGTAAATTATTGTATAACTTTACCATACATTTTATTCCATAGAAATTCCAATACATCTTTCGATTATAAATACAACAATCATCATAAAAAACCTTGACTGAAATGAATGTATAAAAACACTAACTACATCAAAAAGAGTTAAGGTTATAAATCATATACCAAAGAGGTTTGTTTATTTTTTAAGGCTAAGTTCATTTCATGACATTTATACAGTTTAGTGAGAAATATTTTCAATGTATCACCAATTGTTTATTGATTTAATACTTAGATTTTATTAAAGTTTCATGGCGCAGAACTCTTTAGCTGTGAGCATCCACAATTCTACGCGCGAGAATCCAACCCAAGCCCTTCGGTCACGTGTGCGGATGCATAACCTCTAAACCAATAAGTTGGGATCAAACGGTGTTAAAATACATATATATTTATACTCCAGAATCTCATTAACAAATATGCGATCAAACATCATTATTAAAAATAAAATTTGTAACTGATGTTAACGACTTCAGAAAAGTTGTTCGGTTAAACAAGTATAATCATGAAACTTTTACTTGACTAGTGAAAACACTTAACTCAGTAATAACTCTACTTTAATTGTTTACTTTGAGTGAAATGGTCACATTTTATTAATAATACTGAAAGAACTCATGATTCACTCTGTTTAACAGTGTTTACTATCTAATGGCTATGTAATAATACTAAACATTTTGCTTGCTATGAGGCTACACTTTCGTGTTTTATCATCACTACCTTTCTTTTTTTGGTGATCATGTAAAGGAAAACTTAATTTTTATTAATTATTCCGTTAATAGCCACTTAGTTTGGACATGAAGTCTTATAAACATTCCTTACTTTAAATTATAATCATTTGAGAATTTTGTCTATACTCAACTGAAGTCATGTTACCCAGTATTCTAGTTACCATTAATTTACATCATATGTCTTCTAAAAAAACGTGGTTTTTCATCTCTAACTTAGCATTTGCTGACTTTCTTGATCATTTCATATTGTTTATTTGTTGAAACTTCATTTATAATTCTCCAAACAATAAATGTTATCAACATAGCAATTAAAATGCGATCATATAAAGTAAAAACTCATATGATATAGATCTATTTTTGTTTACTTAAGGTTTAATTATCTTGTTTGCCTAATTTATAATCCAACATAATTCTTCTTAGAAATCGATGTATGTCGAACAAAACATCTTAATGTCATTTGATGGAGTTATTTTCTATGATCTCATAAAATCTAATTTTATTAAACAACCAATTTATATTCGAGTTTTAGTTCATTTCAGTACTGTAAGTGTTATGTCTGAGAATGCTTCGAAGCATCTATTTGTCATTCTTTAACTTCTGCTATCAACCCTTTAAACTTAACGTTTATCGTTTATATACTATATTATTATATCAGTAAGTAGCTGTTACGCCAATAAATCTAACAGTTTTGAGTTGTGACAAAGTTTATTTGAGAATTTTATGAGTGGAAAAATGGCGTTTATTAGACTACTTTTAAAACCAATATTTCTATATATAATAATTTCAAGTAGTGCATTAAACTATGGTTGCTTTTCAACAATTATTATCTAGACGGCTGGGGTGTTGGTTAATTAAACAAATGATATAATTCATCAAACGTCTTCAAAAGCTAAAAAATTACCACGTGACGTTGATTAAAATTTGCTGGAGATGGTGAACACTTTACATCACCAAACCAACTTAAAGTTTGTTCATGAAATCATTTTTACAATTTGGAAATGAAAATGTTTACTTCTATAATTTTGGAAGTCTTGTAATCGATCCTGACACAATTCAAGGTTTTATGCTTTTGAAATACTTTAAATCATACAGAAGTAACTTTTTACATACTCCCCTTCATCTAAATCTTGAATTTAATCTAAGTCTAGAATATGCTCCAAGGCAAAAAGTATCACTGATGTTGAAGTATAAAATGTACCTAAGCATAACGATCTATCTGGACTAGCCTGCCTCAAACCAATGTATTTATATAATGAAGTGTCATATATGTTCGAATTACTCTGTTCAGCTGTGTCAAACATTTGTAGCACCTTTGTAATACAGTTTTCTTCAAAACAAGATTTTTAGAAAGTGTAGTATAATGGCTTGGCATCAAAATGGTCCCGATGTCGGAAGTGCTGGTTAGTTACTACTTTACACCACAAACAATGACAAATAAAGTTAAACGTTCTTTTCTTAATAAGCTTAAAACCTTTAGCTAAATACAAATTAAGATGTACAAAGTAAAACGTTCTATGTCATCAGATGATTATTAACTTCAAAACACTTCTCTATAGTTCAATGGTAACTTCACATATTAGATGTACCAACGAAGTGACTTACAGTTCCGATAACGTAGTTCAATTTGATTAGTTAGAAAAAACACAAAGATAGCATAGAAACATGGTATGTGAATTAGGCAGTGCATGTGAATATTTATACCGTTAAGTAGTATTTATCTAAGTGTGAAATTAGGTGCTGATTAAAAAGGCATATATAGTGTAATTTTCGAATGTATGACTCATCTGAGTTGCTTTCTTTTAAGGATTATATCTATTAATGTTATTTGTAATAGTTGAGCTTTTGTCATCATGTTACTGATATTACATTACGCTAAAATATAATATTTTAAAATATAAACTTATTTCTTTATGAGGCAGTTTAGTTTATTTATTCATGGATTTGTTCACTTGCAGTTCGTGTTTGGAGCCGTATCTGAACTTTTATTTTTCAATATCAGGAATAGTTATAAAGATAATTGAAAGTCGTGAATGACCAATAACTAGTTTTTAAAGTTTTGTGTCACACATAAAGCTTAAACGTCGACATTACCAGTCAATTGTCTAGACTACGGGAACTATGGTATGCAAATGAACTTATAGAGCGATAGCTAAGAGTTCAGCTGTCGGGTGTTTGCCTTCAGAAATTTGAAATAACTTTTTTTTCATCGAAAACCCCGATCTAAGAATAATTTACTCGAAATTAACTAAGATTTTGTTAATAAAAATAGTTGAGAAGACTCCTTTTGCCATCCTTAAAAACGTGCTTAATCTTAAACTTTGAAAAATTTTAATCTGCTTTAGAAAAACACACTAGGAATAAAAAGGATAACTAACACAGGATGTAATATGTATGAAATATGTGTTGATAATAGTTCCAATACGAAACGTTATGTCACTTTTTCATGCTATTCGAATGTAAACTACTCAAAACGTCATATACTACGTTCAATTTTCTACAAGACAACACTTTATAACTTAATGAGCGTAATTAAGGCAACGTTTCAGGAGTACTTTAGCATAGGTTCATTACATTTGGGAACACCTCAAACTAAACCTTTGAAATAGAAAGTTATTTAGCTCTAGTTAAGTAACAAAAGGACTGTGCGACAGATGAACAGAAGAGAAGAACTACTCAAGGATAAGTCAAACTTTTGAGGTCATGCAAATTCATGGAATTTAATTATATTGGTTGATTTGTTTTTTATAAACCAGTACATAGAAATTAAGTACTTCCGTTTTTGAGTGAAATATCTTTATGTATAATCATTCGGTAAAATCCTGATTTTAATGAAAAAAAATCATTTTTCGAGATTAGATAAAAAGTGACATGATGCTATTGAGTTCAACCGGGCTACAAAACTTCGGGTTAAAAGTTGGATACTGCAAAAACATAAATCATTTTTTACTTGAGTTAAATGATGTGATCCAATTAGAATTCGATGATCGGTCATAAGTATCATGCCGAGTTTACAAGTGCAATAGCTTTAGACGCACAAATAAAATAGATGTAGAAGGCTTTTGTGAAGAGGTAAAGCCTCCCCAGCTTGATGTGCTCTTTCATGAATTGAACAATTAAAAGAAAACAAGAAACCAAAGGGTAATGAACTGAGCTAAGCAATTGAATTTTTTTATAAGTATTCATCATTCACTCAAAACCAGATTATTTTAGTCGTGGTAGAAAATAACAATTGAAACCACTAAACGATATTTAGAATTCAGAAACACCGCCAATAAGTTTTAAAGTATATTATAGCACGGTAATAAAAATAAGAAAAAGAAATAATTCATGCCCCAAATAATTTCGATAAGTAGAAATCTCGAGAGATAACTAGCGAAATAAAAATTTCAAAAACACATGAAATCAAGTTGTCTAGGACCTCAGATATCCCTGTTTAAAATATCACAGGGTCAAATCTGCCTGTGCAAGGAGCACGATCAAATTATTTACATCATCAAGTGCGATCCGTGATCATGAATATGTTTGTAAGTTAAGTTTAAAAGAATTCATCAAAACAGATATTCTTTATGGATAAAAGATTATCTTAGATATGAATTTTCATGTTTATTCCGTAGGCACGTTCACAACATGGTGCACTAAAACGATGGAACAAACCCGTTTTTATTTTAGTTAGAGCAGAATATGTAATATTGAATGAAAGGCATATGCTGAAGACGCAACAAAATATGCACTGAAATAGCGCTGCGTTCGATTGTATTTTATGCTATAATATTGTTAACTTTTACAGGCATTTCATAGGAGGCTTATAAACCTCAATTTTTTAAATAAAAGCGCATAAATGCATTTATAACTATAACATAGACGTTAAGTAACTGAGATTCAAAATGTCTGATTTTCAAATCAAGAAAAAACTCACTTTCTCGTAGCGTAAAATTTCTTTCCTTTCATGCAACGATAGGTTATCACGATACAAATTTACAGCTTCTAGAGGAGAAATCCCTTCAGGATGTTCACCAGTAGGATAAACACCGTTCCTTATAGTGGATCTATCCAACCGCTCGAGGTTGAAAGTAGATTTGTTGTCGAGTTGTATAGGCATATGTAATTAGTAAAAGGTACTCGGATAATATGTAGTTAGTGAAAAACTCCGAGACACTTCATAATATTGCGCTATGAAACAAAAGACCTTGAAAGAAATAAACCAGTTTAAACAAAACAAATGTTTTAATTGCTAGGCCCAAAAGATGAAGAATTTCGTTAGAGATTTCCCATTTTGACACTCTAAAACATCATTCTTTTTTAGTACAGAAAATCGTTTTGCAATAAAAACCGTTAAACTATGATGACATCATTGTCTCCCAAGTTTGGGGAGGTTTTTCAGCAATCCCTAAATTTCCATGATTTTTCCAAAAGTTCTCTAAACTTTTGGGAGAAAACCTCAAGATTTATGATGCGCAGTTTTTCGAACAAATTCTTAAAAATCAGAGCATTTTTAACCTTTGAAGATGTAATTAAAATTAATATTATTTCCAATATAACCATGAACTTTGGTCATGAATACATAATCGATGTTGAGGTTTTGTCTTTGTAGGTCAAAAAGGCACGAGACAATTAGTCGTCGATTGTACATTACTTTTTCAATAATCTCATGTCATGTAGGTGAGTTATTTGCACTGTCCACAATTTCTATTAACGCTTTTATTCAATCTCACTACAGTCAACTGTATCCTTTTAGAACAGTAATATGGAGCTTGATGAATGCGATAAAAAACGAGTTACAGCCAATAGAACATTAAATTTGATGATTTGGCCCATATCAACATTTTATAGGAGGTTGAGTAAATTAAGAGCTGAGTTTGAGAAGTGTCAGCTAACGATCACTGATTACAAGAATTACAGAAGGAGGCATCGCCGTAGCTGCAGAGCAGTGTATTTGTGTTGCGACACAAGCCATGAATGTTACCAGCCAGGCTTTTTTACATGGTGCATGAGATAAACTCAATAAACGTGGATGGTGATGTAAAGAAAGGGTAAGCTAATTGCACATTAAGTCTTTGATTTAATACCGGTTTTTGTTTTGATATTACTTTATGATAAACATTTATCCTGAGATAAGTGGTACATGTCCATCCTATTTTCATCTGTCTTTGCAACTACTGACAGCCGTAACTGTGAGTTTTTATTCCGAATATTCACAATATTGTAATACCGTAATAAATCATCAACCTTTTACATGACATTCAAGATTCAAAAGTTGGCTGATTGCCATGATATTTGTTTGCTTACTAAAGAGCAAAATTTTTTCGTTTCGTCGAACACTGTAAAGGAAATTTCAACATCAAATAAATATATTTATTCAAAACACATAAGCATTTGTTAAGAATTGGAAAAAGTAATGTATTATTGAGGTTTTCACCTTAATAAACTTGAATGAAGATATCCATTTATCAAACGTCAGTTTTACGGCGACAGATCGGTCCTCGTTACCAATTGTAGTTACATTGCTTTGGCACTGTGTTTACTGTTCAAAGTTGACAGGAAGAAATGGAATGCATGAGTAGAAACTTTTGGTTACTTATTATTGAATCGCCAGGCTTTTCATTGCTATCTGTCAAAAATCGTGGAGAAATATTGCGTTAAAACGATACATTTTGAATAATTTCCCCAATATTGGGAGATTGGGATGGTCTTCAAGTTTACAACGTTCACTCACATCATCTTTTTATTCATTCACTTGAAGTATGCCCCAGGTCATTATATATATTCATACCGTATTTCGTTTTCTGCCTACGTTCATGTAAATTATTATTTATTCCTTTTTCACTAATACTTGTACATCTATTGATATTATGCACTAAGTTCAATTACTTTTAATTTTGCGTGTTCCACCTATGATACTCCTACTTTTCTTTTCTTTTCCAATTACAGTCACAAACTGAATTTATACTCAATTTTGACGTCGCCCGATCAGCCTTCAAGCTTATGCATAACCTATTAAAAATTTTTACATATTACATGGATATTTTTCATCCACCTAATATGTCTGTATATGTGATAAATCTCGGAACGTCTGCGTCCGACTAATTACTTAGAAGTAAGCTACTTCAGAATAACAGCAGTTTTCACATGACGTTTGGCAAGAGACAAAAGTTGTATTTCACTTTATTTCACATCAACGTGCGTTAACACCGTAGACAGATATCCAAAGGTATTGACAGTATAACCGTCAGATATTTTCGGATCTGGAGTTGGCTTTTACTAAGTTCAGTCATATATATATATATATATATATATATATATATATATATATATATATATATTCCAGTTAGATAATACGTATTGATTCATCCACATTTTTTTCGACTGGTTTTCTCCTCATACTCGGTGAAAAATTTAATGCAACAAGTGAATGAAATTAATGCTAGTGTCAACAACCAAACCGGTGCTCAAAAACAATCTATCTCTAGGTAATACCGTAGTTTTCTATTGATCAGAATGCTAAAATATTTTAACAGTGGTAATGCTGATGTCTGGTTGTTGAGGGAATTCCAAAACCTTATTTCTTTTGTAAACTTTTGTCGACTGACATTATGGTGCTTTCGGCTTATCCATCTCTTTAAGTAGATATCTTCGATGGTGACTTTCTACGTAAGTTATGCAGTGCATAAACATTATTATTACTTGTCCATACTTTCTGCATTAGTGAGAATGAATGAACACTAATATGGTAAATATCCATTGGCAACTATACGCGTGAATTTTATTAAGATCTCATCTTTTTTATGATTTTCAAAACCCTTCAAAATTTAATGAACATAAAAACAGCGCAATGTTTAGGTTCGGTGGTAACATGCTCTTAAGGTTGGTTTATTGCTGAGTTATAATTAGGTTTACAGTTCATCAGATTCAGTTTTTAAATATATATGTTCATAGCTTTCCCTAAAAAACTATAAAGCATACTTTCAAAGTGAATGCTGATAAAACAGTTCAAGGCAATCAACATTAGGAAATATTTCTACGTATAATTGTCGGGTGAATATACATGTTTCGTGTTGCAATTGCAATATTAAACACTGGCTGGAAATTGCTCGACTTTCTATGGTAGTGCGATGTAATAGACCTAATGGCCTTTGCAATCATGATTATTTATTTATTTTTTTGAACACAAATACTGGCACAAGATGGCACTAAATATATATGCGCCACACAAAACAACGAGAATAAGAAAAGGAAAAACAAAGGGAAGGAGCATAAAAGAAAAGAAGAACAATAATGCAGTAATCATGATTGCTGCATGGTTCCATTTATTTATTTAAACACATAGATTTTTGTATAAGGAGGTACCAAATATATATGTGCCACATAAGTCATTCGATTTGTGTGAGAGCTGGGATACTACCCGGATGCCCAGACAGAAATAAGTGGTTTCCTTAGAGGGCCACACCCGGAGCCTTCGATCTAAAGGTCTAATTCACAAGGCAGTGGAGCATCGTAAGGAGATGCAGTCACATGGTAGCCGGTGACCAACAATTGATTCATACGCCATTTGTTCCTTCAGGATTCTGGAGCCCATGTGCACCATTGGTTTGGAATCAGGGTCTTTCAACTCCCCTAGGTGGACCCTCCGTGTCCACCAAGCCGGTTTAAGCACCGGACATTCGCTTTTCGTCCTCTCAATTTCGTAAAAACAGCATCCTCGCCATGAGAAGGCAGTGAGTAGGACTTCCTTGGCAGTGGTTGTATGCACATGGCCATATGAGAGCATTTCGTGAGGTAGAGCTGACTCTCCCCACTCTCGGCCGTACCAGGGCATTGCTGAAGCATTAAGCATGCTTATGTGGGAAGCTTAAAAGTTTTGGCACCAACTTATTGTCTACTCTTTGGACACGCGAAAACGTCTGCGTACTAAATTAATCATAAGCTAGTAATTTGTGTGTTACAAAGCATATGCACAAGCAATATGCTCTGGAGTAAATGTATTTACTTGAGTTTCCACCCAACAAGAAAAGGAATAAGTGAAAACATGAATATAAACAATTGTGGTGTAATTAGTAACACTCAGAGTTTAGAAACTAAAAGTAGAGTCCGTCTAAGTATTCTTAAATGATATTCCCTAAACAATCTTGTAATTAATGCATTATTATTAATCCCTTGATATCACTTCTGGTTACAGCGTACTCAATTCTTCCAAAAGTTGGAAGGTTTATAATAACTGTCCTTAACTTTCTGTTAGAACGAGTGACTAAAAGCCAATCAACTTTTTTTCCGGAGTGTTGTACTTATCATCGTAGCAACTCAATCTGCGAATAAATTGTTCACCTGCTTATTCAACATTAATTTCATAGACTGCGTTCTTAATCCCCTTCGCGCGCAATTCTTTACTGTCTGGCGTTGCCACTACGTTTTCGATCTTTTTATTTTTAATTCACTAGTCCATATGTTCCCGTTCCAGATTCTACGTTGCTTATGGCTGACCATTGCTTATATAATCGCTATCCGTGGTAGATTATTTTGTTGTTATTCAATAACTGTTTAGCGAAGAAAGACGTAATCGTTTAATGGGTTCCATCTAAAGATATCCATGGTTAAGTTGAATTGAAGATAATTCAAAATACTAGTTTGTCTTTAAATCCAAACATATTTCCAAATGTGTATCCTTTTCAGATTTTATTTAAAATAAATAACGGAAGGGCAGTAGAAATACCTTGCCTAACTGACAGTCACTGTGGCTCTTGTTCGAAGTGGTTTTAAGTAGGGAATATGATATTGTTCAGCTAGTCGAATATCAAGAATTTACGCTTATTCCATGTGTATCTTTCGTTTCTATATTTCCACAGGTTTTAGCAACATCAGTTAGTCAATTTATTAAAACTGGTGATATTCCGAGCATTACTTTTTGATATCGCTTAATTTTTTACTATCTCTCTTGCTCTAGATATAATTTCGTATAATCACCTCATGGCTTTAAATAAATATATGCACCAACGAAATATTTACAAACAGAAAAAGCCGAATTTCAAAGAATTGGCTGCAAAGTTCGATTTCTTTGATGCAGTGGCGATAAAAGATGAATGTGGCCGGGTTGTTCTTGACTTTAGAATACCATCTCACTTGTCTGCTTTGTCCAAAGCGTTGTTGATGAATGACTTCGGTTTAAACGTAGACTTTCCAGGCGATCGTTTGATACCAACAGTTCCGCTGCGTTTGAACTATATCTTATGGTTAGAGGACCTACTGAAGAGTAAGTAATCGATTGTTTGTTAATTATCTAGACATTAGATCTTCAAAGATTTTCCGAACCTGCAAGCATCTTGGATATCGGCGTTGGTGCATCTTGTATTTATCCTTTGTTAGGTTCGAAGAAAAATTCATGGAGATTTTTCGGCACAGAAAGTGATACCAGAAACTTTCGTTTGGCCAAAGAAAATGTTGAGAAAAACGATCTGAACAAAAGTATCAAATGTAAGTTGGATATCGCTTGGTTAGGTGCGTTACCATTAGCTTATTGTTGTATATCTTCGTGAAGTAAAAAATCTGATTGGGCCATTGAAAATCAGAAGTTTACGCAACAAAGTCAGACAATATGAGCACGGAAATTTTGCCATTCAGTTATCAACCACATTATCTGTAGAGATACATTCTAAAATGTTAGAAGTTTGATGGATGGTGCAATGAATAGTTGGTTTTTTAGTGACTAGTTCTTGATAGTTCTCCAAATGTGAATAACCATTTGGTAAACATTTATCTCCGAGACAGGAACCAGATTCTCAAGGAGTTTTAACCTTTTCAATAAACTGAATAGTTTATTACTTTTGTCAAAATATTGGCCTTTAGTACAATATCATGGTTGGCCAATATAGGCTTTTCGACCTCACATATCACTGAATAATGTTCGTAAAGTACTCCGTAAAGCATCTCATCATCGCTGTTACATTTGGTGATTACGTAGGTCTGTTATATATCTATTTTCGTTTATGGTTATCAAGTATATAGATTGGTTAGATAAGATAAGCACTCACTTTCCGTTCGTTAGTGGTGTGAAGCAAGTTACCTCTGATTTTTGCAGTTTTCTTTAGTTTTCCTTAAAACATTTTGGTGCATTTTTTTGATATTTTAATGTTAGTTTTCAGTAATTGTTTATCTAAATCACCCTGATTTCCTTGTAGTATTTCATATAACTGAGAATACCTCATCGTTGGATGTTGTTTTTGGTGATAAACAAAATACGACTTATTTGGATGCTGTAATGGCGAATCCCCCATTTTTCTGTGACACATCAGATGCTGTTGGATCTACTACCTGTCGATCTCTTAAAAGGCCACCACCTAAAACTATATCATCTGCTGCTAGGCATGAAAGTCAAACAGTCGGTGGTGAAGTGTACTTTTGTATGCGTTTAATCCGTGATAGTATTCGTTATTCAACTCGAGTTGGGTATGTTAACTTTCAGTGTGAAAATAGTCTTGTTTGCCATGTAATTAGATGTAGTGAGATTTATATTCGATTTTGTCATACCATTCAACGTTATCATGAACTTGTATTTATACTAATCACTAAGGAAATCAAAATGTTCCATTATTTGAGTAGCATTGTGTAGACGTGTTTCAATTAAAATACATTTCATCTGATTAACTATTGTTTTGGGATAGATAATATATTTGTCATCTATCTTTTGTGTATCTGCAAAATCTTAGTAACCAGCGTGTTATTCTAAAATCATCTATTAACCGTACAACTTTTAATTTACGGTTCACAAAACCTTCACGAAGTACATTAGTCCGATGTGTGGATATTTTCTTTCAGATGTTTTCGGCCCACGATGAACAGAATCTTCATCAAAACCTGTACATTTATAAATAAAACTTAGGTATTTTTGACTTTTTAACCATCCATCTTTCAGTCAAAGCTGTTTTTAATTTGATCTTTTATACGTAAACACTAGAAAATCATTAGCGTCCAAATAAGTTAAACCTTATAAATAAAAGGTATATATATATAGCTTAAGTAAATGATTTCGTCGAAAAGAAAATTTTCTTCACTGAATTGTGTTTATTTTTATTCAATGACACAACGGGTTATTTTAAATATTGGATTCACACGTTTTACTTCATCTCTTTATTCACTGACCGCACCTTTTTCTTTCGCTCATAGATTTCTGCTCTAAAATTTTAATTATATTCGTTTTTCATTTGAATTATAGTGTGTTCACAGTTATGTTGGGTAAAAAATCAAGTGTTTCTTCAGTTCGTCGAATATTACACAAATTTAAGATAACTCAAATATCTGTATATGAAATGTGCCAAGGTCGTATAATGCGATGGGGTGTTGCGTGGACATTTCTTCCTAATTTTCAATTTCCTGTAAGTCTTCATTTCTTTTTTTGTAAACCGATAATTATCTCGCCTTGTTGCTTTTGATAAGTAATTTCCCTTCTAAGAAACAGCTATCAGATGAGTTAGACTATTTGTTAAACTGTTCATTCAATCATACTTTGATAATATGTTTGTATTCTTACTATAATTAGGTTGTTTACATTCCGACCTAATGTAATTAACATTTAGTTAAATAGTTTTAGCTTGACTTATGCCCTTAAGTGCCCTGGTACGGCCGAGAGTGGGGAGAGTCAGCTCTACCTCACGAAATGCTCTCATATGGCCATGTGCATACAACCACTGCCAAGGAAGTCCTACTCACTGCCTTCTCATGGCGAGGATGCTGTTTTTACGAAATTGAGAGGACGAAAAGCGAATGTCCGGTGCTTAAACCGGCTTGGTGGACACGGAGGGTCCACCTAGGGGAGTTGAAAGACCCTGATTCCAAACCAATGGTGCACATGGGCTCCAGAATCCTGAAGGAACAAATGGCGTATGAATCAATTGTTGGTCACCGGCTACCATGTGACTGCATCTCCTTACGATGCTCCACTGCCTTGTGAATTAGACCTTTAGATCGAAGGCTCCGGGTGTGACCCTCTAAGGAAACCACTTATTTCTGTCTGGGCATCCGGGTAGTATCCCAGCTCTCACACAAATCGAATGACTTATGTGGCGCATATATATTTGGTGCCTCCTTCTACCAATGTTTATGTGTTTAGATAAAAACAAATAAATAAATCATTCATTATCTAACTCTTTATACTCAAACTAAACAATATTCACTGGGTGATTTCAACACAAATGAATTGTATGGTAAATTTGCTTTCATTTTTCACATGTTTTTTGATTACAAAACCTAATACTGGCATATATAGTTGAAGCAAAACCAACTGTTGCAAACTAGACTGATTTCATTTAAATGGATACTTGAATAGGACACTTCATTCTATTGGTAATTTTAATCAATTTAAACAAATTAAACACCATGTTTTAAAAAAAATCAGTCCATTAATTGCTTTGTTGTATTTCCCTCAGCCATATATATTATCCGGTAAGCCCAGTTAATCCTAAACTTAAACCAGTATTAAGAAACATTTGGTTGTAATGCAGGTTAAGATAAAAATAATTTCAAGGGAGTTTACATTTGAGTGAATAGTCCTGAAATACTGGTGATACTCTTATTACGGTGTATAACAAAAATTACAGGAACATGAGATTAAAGTTGTTTGTAGTAAACCTACTGAATAGTGATCATATTTAGAGAGGGTTGAATGAAGTCATTGACTCTCTTCACTTCTGTTATCAACAAAGTTAACTTATTGTTTAATACAAACATATGACTTAAGCCTCCTAGTCTGTATGATCAATGAGAATCTCTTTGCAGTACAAATATACTGTTTATTGACTTTTTGGGATGCGGCCTTGTGTTACGTACCTAGAAGGTGTTGCACGGTCAGACTAAAGATACTACTGGTACCTCTGAAATGTAACTTCTTTGTACAATACTCGGTAAGTTATAGAGATGCTCACCTTGTCTTTCTGATGAACCTGATTTTGCACGTGTATGAAAGCTGACGTACACAATTGGAGATTATTTGTGAATGCTATTCTTTCATGTCATTGAACACATTGTACATGAAGAAATTAGTAACACTTCGGGCAATGTTCTACTGTATGTTAATTTTAACCTCCAATTAATGTTTCTCGTGATTCAACCACGTTAATACCACTCGAATAAACCCATACTTCCTGTGTTGAAGTTTATTCACTTTGATCCTTGTACACTAACAACTATCACATTACTTTCCTCAATAAGAATTAATCGGTTGCCATTTTTGTCGAAGATAAATTCTGATTGTTAGACAGTTAGACCTTTCAAAATCATGGTAACATATTTAGACTTAAAAAACATTTTTATAATTTTGCTTTAAGGAATCTGATTTCCGTCGACTTCGTAAATTAGAACGTCCTCCATTAACACTGCAACTGCCGGATTCAGTATCTTGTCTTCCTGAAAATACAGTTGATGCTCTTTTGGACTGGTTGAGATATGAATTTAAACAATTAGGTGTAAGTTTCAAGAAATTATTTAGTAATTTGATATGATTACTTCTGTTACTCCTCCTGAAAAAGCATAAGTCACCCACCAGGATTCTCCATCCAACTCTGCTCTCGGTATTTCCTGTCCACCTCCAACGTCTTTTCCTAATTTCCTCTTCAGCTGGCAGCTGGTTTGTTCTCTTTCACAGTAGGCTGTTGTTGATGGTATCCGACCAACCGACATTCAGTATCTTACGTAGACATGTGTTTATAAATACTTGTACTTTTTTATGGTTGTAGTAGTTCTATTTTCAGTTCCATACAGTAGAACTGTCTTTACGTTTGTATTGAAGGTTCTGGACCCAAATGCCCTGGTATGACCGAGAGTGGAGTGGGTCCGCCATCCCTCTCGAAATACTGTCACACGGCCACGTGTATACAGCCTCTGCCGGGGAAGTCCTACTCACTGCCTTCTCGTGGCATTACTGTTGTTTACGAAAATGAGAGGACGAAAAGCGAATGTCCGACGCTGTAACCGGATCCCAAACCAATGGTGCACATGGGCTCCAGTATCCTGCGGGAACAAATGGCGTATGAACCAATTTTCGGTCACCGGCTACCATGTGACTGCATCTCCTTACGACGCTCCACTGCCTTGTGAATTAGACTTTTAGGTCAAAGGCTCGGGGTGTGGCCCCCTAAGAAAATCACTTGCTTCGGTCTGGGCACCCGGGCAGTATCGCAGCCCACACGCAAATGATGAACTCTCTATATCTATGGAAACTACTTTTCTCGCTTCGAATAACAATCAAATGATTCAAATTATCATTACTATTATTGTTATTATTATTATTTACTACGACATTATTCACCCTCTTTTATTCCTACTCTGTCTATACTTATTTTTTCGACTTATACAGCAGCTCGTCTTTGGTGGAAAGTCGACTCTATCTAAACGTTCTCGAGTCACTGTCCGGTTGAAAATTGTATGTTACCACCGACTACGAATACTGAAGCAGTTTTTCTAAAACCACGTGCACCATTCACACTGGCTGCCTTCAACGTTCGCACACTTATGCAGGTCGGACAACAGATAGGGCTGGCTATGTCTTTGGAAAGTCTTAATATTGATGTTTGCTGTCTATCCGATACCCGTATTCAAGACTCTGGTGAAGTACTACAAATTCGATCTCCATCTGTCGCTTCAAAAGGCTTGTCTTACGTGCGTTTATCAAGGGACTCTGTGGCATCTTTGTCTAGTCTTGCTGGCGTTGGTGTCGCAATAAGTGCTAGACCTGAGGCAGCACTAATCGATTGGATCCGCATTAGCAGTCAGTTATGTGATGTTAGATTAGAAAGTTCCATCAAAGTGAGAAGAAATCGGCGTGAGAAACGATGTCTTTTCGTCATCTCCGCCTATGCCCCGACAGATTGCAGCCCGGATGCAATCAAGGATGAGTTTTACCACCAGTTATCAGTTCTTCTCCAGAAAGTGCGTTCGACAGATATTGTAGTACTAGCCGGAGACTTGAATGTTCAGGTTGGGCGTCTAGGCACAGAGGAGGATTGTTTAGGTGGCCGATGGGGACTTCTTGGTCGCAGGTCAGATAACGGGGACCGTCTACTGTAACTGTGCACAGACCACAACCTGTTTCTGGCTAGCACTAACTTTCGACACAGTCATCGCCGATGTGCCACCTGGCGTCCTCCCTCTGCATCTCAAGCCTGGACTCAGATTGATCACATCGCGATCAGCTACCGCTGGCGTGGTTGTGTACAAGACTGCCGCTCCTTTTGAAGTACCTATCTGGACTCTGACCATGCTTTGGTCTGCGCCAATCTTACCTTACTTTTCAGTGGGCAACGAAGTGACCGCCACCAACGGATTGATATTAGCAAGCTGGTTGCAACTTCTGTTGCAAGTAAGTATCGAACCGAGCTAGTTTCTAGACTAGCTATCATTCCACCGAAAAGTATAGATGAGCATTGGTTGCAATTGCATGACGCCATGAAAATGGCGGGTACAGTCAGTTGTGGATTTGCGAAACGTCCCGCTTATAAGCACTGGGTTTCTTCAGGTTCCTTACAACTCATTGAAGCCCGTCGGTCTACTCCGGGTGACCGTGAGTTTGACGACAAACGAAGGATGTTACGTAAGGAAATTGGGCAAAGCTTGCGTAAGGACCGAGAGGCCTGGTGGTCGGAGCGTGCTAATGAGCTGAAAGCAGCAGCTGCATCCGGTAATTACCGGAAGCTCTTCCAACTGTCCAGGTTCGTGAAAGTTTCTACTCTTCCAGAACTTATCCATCAAGAGTGATTGGATTGATGCTCTCTGTGTTGTATTTGAGGATCTTGGTTTTTCTCTTGTGTTTGTCGAGGCTTGCTGCTACACTGACTATCTTTACCTGCATTTGTTGTTGTGAATGGAGTAGAAGATCTAGATCATATGTGAAGTCCAAATCTTCTAGTTTCATGCAAACTGTCCATTGTACCCCATGTTTATCCTGAGATATGAAGGTCTTCATAATCCAGTCAACTACCAGAAGACAAAGCAAGGGTAAGGAGTTTTGTCTGACACCGGTCTTCACTTGAGATGCATCTGTCAGCTGTCCTCCATGCAGGACTTTTCAGTGTAGTCCGTCATATGAATTACGTATGATGTTGACGATTTCCTCAGGCACACCATATTGCATAAGGTCCTCCTATCTACACTATCAAACGATTTCTCATAGTCTAGGAAGCTGATGTATAGTGACGAGTTCCATTCAATTGATTGCTCAGCAATGATGATAGAAAATGAAGTAATTGAACACATCGACCGCCTCACTTATCTTGGGAATCTCATCTGTACTGATGGTCTGGTGTCTGACGAAGTGTCGACACGGATCCAAAAACTATTGGCTTTTGCGACATACCCGTCTTCCAACCAAAGGGCGAGTTTACTGCCCAGCAGTTCGTTTCATTTTACTTTCTGGGTATGAATCATGGGCATTAATAAATAGGGTATATTCTTAGGTTAATGGTATTCAATCATTGGTATCTTCGAAGTATTCTTCATGTATTTTGGGACCACGGAGTAAACAGTGTCTGTGTTGGTGATAGGGTACTAGGTCAGAGTGGTAACTCGATTGATGCGGTAGTTATTAAGACCTTATCAACTAAGGTGGTCGGGACATGTTATTAATGCCCAATTATCGACGGGCGATGTTGTCTGGTGTAGAAGTATTTTGAAAAAAAGCTTTGAGCGGCAAAATTAAAGCATGCTATCGGTACATTAAGTCATTATGGATTGGACTAAGAGCTATGCTAATAGGTGTAGACTATGTGGTCGGGGTCCGTGTGATTATCGTAGCCAGTGGCTAGAGACTTTGAATGACATGGCTCAAAATCGTTTGTAAAGGTGCAGGTGTATCCATTCTTCTCCTAATCTTTTGAATTTCTCATAATTTTCTTATTTCGTCAATCTATGTTTTCTCGAATCGTATCTTCAATGCTCTATTACCACTGATGTTGCTACTACCTCTATTATTTTGGGTTTCGTCCCGAAAATTTTAACTTGCTCTGCTAATGTGTTGTAGAAACTCGAACCGTTGTATGTGAGTACCAAGTCCTATGCTGCGTTTGACTGATGTGTTCGTCACTAATGGTCATTAAATATCCAAAAGCCAGGTACACATTAGTTGATTGAACTTCCGGTTTGAATTGGATTACATTATAACAGACTTAGTTATCCCAATGGTCATCATTCTTCTGTGGTGTCTAATTCTAATCAAATTCTATCATCCCAGACATCGCATGTGTTTATTGAGCTTAGTGGCACAACGTGCTGTAGTGCTGTTAGACGTTTGTAAGAGATTACCTGAAACTTTCATACTTTTTAGTGTTGGTCAACACAATTAACGTATGGTCTCTCTTAATTACTCTTCTATATTATTTCAGTGCATTGGTTATTAAACACTGACAATCGTTCACCGTGATGAACTATTTCTAAATCCCTATATTATCTTATTTTTCTTTGGCTTTTTAGATGAAAGTATTAGATCAAAAAAATCGTGCTGAACTAGGTGGTCTGCATTTAAATATTACAGCAACAGTAAATACGTGGACCCATACTAGGCGTAAACGACGAGAAGTTCAACGTCTTCTAATGTCTCAACAATCGGATACGATAAACAATGGAAATCCAACTAATAATGATTCTGTATCCAATGAAATAGATCCCATGGAATGCGGTTCTAACACAAATACGGTCAGTTTTAAAAATCCTTCAAAGCGTGTACATGATAGTAACCCAGATGAAATGAATAATTCATCGGAATCAATCGCACAAGCAACAGCAGAGACAAAACTAAATAGTTCTGTGGTGGAATTGGTAAATCCACCAAAACGAACGCGAGCAACACTTCATGATGAAATCTGTGAAGAAGGTGAAGACGCTTGGTTTGATGGAGATGAATGTGAGAATACTTCAGCTAACAAAATTAATACGTGTTCAAATAATGAATCACCATCTGCTATCGACACTTGCTCACATGTGATTCAAGCCAATGTATTTGTTGAGTATTTAAACACAGATTCATTTATTAAAGACGTACATGCAAAATCATCTTTATTTCCACATGGAATCAACAACAGTGACGAAGTAATGCATAATGATAGCATTGAATGTGGTCAGACAATTATGAAAGTTAAAAGTGATATAGACGCTAGTGATGATGACGATGTGATTCTTGCTGAAGAGGAACATGGACCATTGGTGATAAAGATCGCTTGGATAAGTGGGACATGTCGAGAGGCAGCTAATCAAATTTTATTTTACTTAAAAAATCGTTTGAAGTGATGCTCTACTCTATATTCCATTTTTTTTCACCATATCTGGCTGGAAGAAAATAAAGTATTTTTGTAAATAAGCAGTTGCATTTATTTTGTATACATGTTTCTAGCAAAGTAGTGTTATCATATGCTATTGTCATTATTTTTGTACATTAAATACACCAAGCTTCATAAAATAAGCAGTGATTTTTCATCATTTTGAGGTGAAATAATGTATATGTTACAGTAGTAATCAGCGATTCCATTTTTCTAACATTATAGATTACTTAACAGTAAAAAATTGCCCCACCAAGTCGACACTGTTAATGGTGAACGCTTTGTATATCATGTCAGTCACCATGCATATTATCATAATAGCAAAGTAGATATACAGAAGACAATCGATATTTTCATTCAGATTGCTAGGTAGAACCGAAATCTTTTTGGACACGCTTTGCTGGGGAAGTCGTTTGGGTGTTGACTGAACTTATATTTAATTGCCTACGAGTTGCATTTTGTTGAATCCTGAGGAAATAATTAAGAAACATTCACATTCTACACGTTATTCTGATAGGGTTTTTAACGTAGAGCAAATAAAATGATTGACAGAGGGTATTCAATCGATTACTGGTGGTAAGTTGGCCGAGATTTGTAGTTGAAGAGAATAGTTTTCCTGAAATTGTGCTCTTTGCTTTGGGCGTTTAAGTCGCGACGCTTTCATTGCCATCCAAAACAAAGTCATTACAAACCTCAGTTAGAAGTGAGCTGTAAGGAATTCTCTGAGTGACTAGCATCTTGTCACGTAGACCTTGGAGTTGACTGATTGTTGCCGATACGTCCCAACGTCTGCACATTTACGCTGATTGTCCGCCCTTGATCTTATAGTTGTTTGTGACTTTTCTAATTTAGTATCAAGGCCCTAGAAACTCGTGTTTTGCTATTGTCCAATATTTCAAGTTCCTCCTAGTAGAGCCTTAAAGTTGCCTACATGTGTTGATGTAAGTGAAGATGTATCATAGTGTTTGATAGCCAATGAGTGTTTATTTAGAGAACTATCAAAAGAGCGGTCGCTCTGGCTGATGTAATGATTTTCAAAGTTGGGGTAGTATATTTCGCAGTTGTTCGGCTTGTTGTCCTGTTATTTCGTTTAGCATAGAATTGATTTAGCTGAGTTGTGAATGACGTCTTTTTAATCTGGTTGTATTCGCTGTCTTTAATATGTGTTAGGATCATCCGTTCGCTACCTTCCACACTTAGTTCTTTGATAAAGTTGCGCGTATATCCGTTCTTCCGGAAAAAGTTGCCAGATGTCTTCATTTCCACAGTGTATCTCCACTCTTCTAAATAGAGTTTATCCTTAGTTGATTTGGTAGATGTTTGCTGATATAGTAAAGGATTCGATCTTTTGGGTTGTTCTGTGACAAACCTGAGTCTCAAGCTGAAGTTTATAATTAGTTTACCACCAGTAGGAGCAAAGATTTTTCAAATTCCTTCATACTATGTCTAATGTTGAAAATAATACGGTATAATCCGAATAATTATAGTTTGTAATGTCTAGTGGGTATGCTACAATAATTTATTGTTTAATGACTGATAATAGACACTGCCTAAAGTATGTCCGGGATGGTTATCCTCGACAAGTTTTGAACATAAAATACCATCTAATTATGCTCCAGAAAAGATCGATGCGATTCTGATCGGATATGTTCATAGTTACGTGTAAATGGTGTAAAATCGGCCCTAAATGGTATAGCATTTTACCGTGGTTCCACGTATGATACTTGTGTGATCTGCAAAGGTGATCCTAACGGGAAAATCAGTTATTTGGATGGAATTTTAGATCATGGGTTGCCTAATTAATAGACTTCAAACAAATTTAATTCTTGTCCAAAATATCACTCATATGTATAGCTATCACTTAATATTGTCCCGATTAACCAGATTTTACTGGAAACAAACTAATTCGGGTGATACTATTTTTTAAATAAGATGCATTGAATGTTTTCCTTACCGTAATTGACCTTGTTCGTTTGAAGGCAACGAAATGAGTTACTACCACAAATAATATTAAGCTCAGGGGTATTGTAATTTTTATTTAGATTTTAGGTGAGTTAGACGGATTTTTTGATTAATTTAGTGTAGCTTGTTAATATTATCTAACTTCAGCAGTTGAGTCTTTGAAAAAGTCGCTTAGTGGTTGAACAAATCAGGTTTCATACATTAGCTTTCCCGTAAGAACCCTGGTCTACCTAATTCAGTTTGAGTAGCTGGGTAGCAGTATCGCAAGCCTTCATACAATATGGCTCAATGTTGAGTGCATAAACATCTACTTGATGTTAAGTGGTAGTCCACAGGAAACTCCGGACCTACGTTTTGTGATAGTTGCAACTTGTCAGCAAGGCTACCTGCAATGTCGAGCATATTGTTGATCCCCCAGTACTTTGAGCCCATGACATTTAATTGGTAAGTGAGTTACATTCATATTTAAGCGACTAACTCTCCAGTACATCCCATACTTATTCGATGAGAAAAAACTAAAGTATTCTATTGATTAACGTTTATGTGCAAGTATAACGTGAAACTGATTAGCAATTGCCTTATTTTAAAGAATCGATCAGATTCACGTAATTTATGGATAATAATCTTTGTAAGAAGAAGAAACATTTATCTAGAATATTTGATATTGCAGAAAGAACGTCTTGTGTGGATAGAGGAAAAAACATTTCCAAAAAATATGTATTCAGATTTTTTTCTCGTATTTTACAAATGTTGTCCGGTACAGAAACTTTCATGTCAGCTTTATGTGATTACTCTGTATTAAAAAAATATGGTTCTACATAGATCGATCGTTTGCTTAGTTAGAAGAGAAAAGAACTACGAAGGTAGGTGAAATAAATAATTTTTGTAAGGCATAAAATGAACAAAAATCATTACTTACACAGGACGAAAGATGGAACAAAGAGTAAGAGAGGGAAACAAGGCATGTGCAAGTGCATTTGTTAGTGCACACAGGAAGAAAATAGATAATCATTCAACTCTAGGGATTAGCATTGGCGAGCTTGGGTGAGATTTTAAACAAATCAAATGATTTCTGGTTAGTCTAAAAGTGATTGGTACTTATCACAATATGTTTGTGTAGGTATATGCAAGTGCATTTGTTTGTGTAGACCTATAAGGTGTTACTGCATATAGAAGAACAAGGATTAATTTCATTTGAAGAAAATGAAGAGTATTCTTTCAAATCACCTTTTTAATCTTATCGGCCGCGTTTTACTCACGGTAGCCTTAAAAATATTCCAGCTAATCTACTCCAGTCAATATCATCTGCGACTTGAATTTGTGTTTTTGTCTCCACGAAATGTATCAATAATTGATCGATCAATTGATCTAATCTTGATTTAGCTGAAAATTTATTTTTGTGGAGAAAACTGAATGACAAAAATCACGAGGTAATACTTTTTAAGCAAATATGTCATAAGTTTAGAATGAAAAGAGCATCAATCTATTTGTTAGTCATTGGACAGGTTCGATAAAGCTATCAATAAAGGCGTCAAACGAAATGAAATGATAATAATACAGTGAGAGGATAGTCACTTGGAAATTAGTAAGATGATAAATTTTGTGATGACATATTTTGAATACCATGAGTGATTCGGTTCATTCAGTAAGTGAATCCTACTATTGATAAGGTAACCTATAACGAAACTACACCCAGTTTGCTACTGGTTTTCTTTATGAGCTATGTTCGTTAATATATGCGGTTACTGAGTTACTTGATTTATAAGATCGCAATGGCAGCGAATCCCAACTCGATACAATCATACTTAAAATGCAATATCATAAATCAATCCTTTTTTACTTTTTTACCTGGTATGTACTTCAACAGATAGTACTCCGTATGGGATCCACTAAAATTGACGTTTCAAGATGATATAATTTATTGAAACATCATCTCCACTAGGCTGAACCTTACGGTGGATCCTTTTGCCAACTTATACGAATAATAAATTTTTGCGTTCATATGCCTTTGACACCGACAGTTTATGTATTATTCTTTAGCATAGTTTACATAATATTGTGGTGTTTGAATGAACTAATGATTCATTTGTACTTGTTGAATGCTTGACTTAGAATTCCAAATACATTACATTCGTTCGTGCTTACCTAGTACTTCTTGATTCGATTGCGTTATTTCTGGGATTCTTAGTTCGTACTATAATTCAAATACTATGAACCAACTAATTTAACTAGTAATCAGTTTGACACAAAGAATCCTTCGCATACGGAAATAATTAGTGAGTATAATTTGTTTTGACAGGCTCTAACATATTGCAACTACTGTCATTTTAAAATGTTTGAACTTTCTTTGACATTCAGTCAAAATTTCTGAAGGAGGACAGTTTACATAATTCAGCGGTCAGCTTATTCAATCGTATCCTGGTGATAACTCTATACAAGAGTATACAGTAATATTTTGTCTACATATTGGACATATTCAAATAATAAAAACAAAAAATAGGAAGAGAATCTTACTGAATATGTCGACTTCATGGTGTGTGAGCAGCTTTCGAGTCAATTTCTTGGCGACCGATTTGAATGCATCCTACAGTATACATAGAAAAATACATCAAACAGATCCCTATTATTGTATTGAATTCATGACTAAAAATAATCTCTGTCGAAGTAGTGACAAATATCAGGTTACTATTATCAACTTATAAATTGGACGATATCGTAATTATAAAAACATGAAACATTGCTTGTTGTTTCTTTCTTTTCCTATCAGTTATTGAGGTCCACATTGCTTTTAATAAGGTGATTATAATATATTTCCCAACGCTATATAAGTACTATTTAACCAGAAGTGCTTGTTCGTAAGTTTTTATTTCCTCGAGACAGTAAATGTATTCTTAGAAAAGTTAGTTTTCACATTTTGTATCTATATACCAAGAAAGTAGTTTTATTAGGTACGAATCCGCTTTGGGATTCGGAGTAACGATTGTATCATCCTCAGAATAGTTCAAAACAATCTGATAATTGATTATTATGCATATATTTTCTTTTTTCCGAAATTTATATTTTATTTTTGTATCTAACAAACAAATATATGGGTACATTTAGATTCCAGGGTATACGTAAGTTACACATGTAATGAAAATTAAGGCATACCTAAAACTTTAGCGTGGAAGTCGAGGCAATT